AGGTCATGATCTTACAGTTTGTGGGTTCGAGCCCTGCACTGGGCTCTGTGCTGATAGCTCAGAGCCTGGAGCCTGCTTCGATTCTGTGTCTCCCTCTCTCTCTGCCCCTCCCCTGGTCATGCTCTGTTTCTCTCGAAAATAAACATAACAATAAAAATAAAAATAAAAGAAGAAGAATGGACTTAGTTAGGTAGAAGCCTTTTGAAATCCTAAGTAACCAGTTCTCATCCCCTCAAAATTCAGTAGGTCCAGGTTGGGGGCCTGGAAAATCTACATTTGAACAAGTGTTCTAGGTGATATCAATGTAGGCGTGTCCTAGAAACACACTTTGAGTAATATTTTTAAAGCTTTTCTCACCTAAAGAGTTTTCTTGATTAGGATGGAATATTGCTCTTTCTTTCTCCCTTCTCTTGCCGCCTTCATTCTCTTCCATGCCAGTGAAGGATGTACAAAATGTTACTCCTCTGAGTACACTATTGTTTCTCTTTTTCTGTTTCTCACTGTAGATATAACAGACATGTAAGGGGCTTCAGTGTTAAAATGTTGGCTGGTTTTAGAAAAGAAAAAAGCCCTCATCCTGAGGCAGTAGTCTACTAAAAAAGAAGCAATGTTTTTTTTTTTTAAAGTGTATTTAAATGTTCTTGAGATCACAGTTGAATTCAGTTCTTTCTATATACACACCCGTACCCCCAGGCACACACACAAACAATCATATGGGTGTTGCCACTTGATGGAAACACTATGAGGAAAAAAGCAGATTCTAAAGGATGCACTCTTGTAGAAAATAGATCTGAATAATATGAAATGGCTTGAGAGAAATATAGATACCATGTGGTTTCCTAACTGTGGTTAGTTACAGATCAAAGGAACAATGTATTTTCTGAGATTGAAAGATAAAATATGCCATGGATATTTATGGATAAAAGAGATACACAAATAGCTGCAAATAGTATAGAATATTAGAGCTAGGCAGGGCCTTAAGATCATGTTATCTGACAGTGGCATTTTTCAAGCTAAGGTGACTGAGACCCACCTTGGTAGAGTGAGTGACTTGCCCAGTGTAATCTTTTGAGGTATTGGCAGTACTGGGCACAGCACCCAGCATTCCAAATCCCCACCACAGTGTTCCTCCCCTTACATCACTCAGATAGTTTATGATAAGAGATTATGCCTATGAAAGGAATCCCAGAGAATAAAGAAGGTGGAAACATCAGGGCAAACCCACAAAAGTGAGTCCTTCATACAGGATAAGAGGGAAATACATGAAATGAAATTGATTTTGTAAGCGAATTGTAAGAAAGATGTGTGAAAAGAGGCAAAGTGAACAGGGAACAGAAAAAACTAGATGAGACAAAGAAGACAGTACATTGCGGAAGTCCAAAAAAATGGAAGATAAAACTACAATAAAAGGGACGCCTGGATGGCTCAGTCGGTTAAGTCTCTGACTTTGGCTCAGGTCATGATCTCGCAGTCCGTGGGTTCGAGCCCCATGTCGGGCTCTGTACTGACAGCTCAGAGCCTGGAGCCTGCTTCAGATTCTGTGTCTTCTTCTCTCTCTGTCCCTCCAGAGCCCACTTGTACCCTATCTCTCATTCTTTCTCAAAAATAAACATTAAAAAAACCTAAAAATACAATAAAATAATTCAAGCACATATAGGTAGATGTAGTATTTTTTTGTCATTTTTTATCAAAGGTATGTCTATCTAGAATTATTCCAATAATAAAATGACCATAATGAAATCTTATGAAAGTACATTTAGACTCCTTAAAATTTTTTTTAATGCTTATTCATTTTTGAGAGAGAGAGTGAGACAGAGTGTGAGTTGGGGAGGGGCAGAGAGAGAGGGAGGCACAGAATCCAAATCAGGTTCCAGGCTCTGAGCTGTCAGCACAGAGCCTGATATGGGGCTCAAACCCAGGAACCGTGAGATCACAACCTGAGCCAAAGTCAGACACTTAACCGACTGAGTCACCCAGACACCTATAGACTCCTTTAAAGAAAGGTTTATCTAAAGTGGTAGCAGTGTTAAGTTCTTAATCTTCTAAAATGTTGAAGGAAGAAGATACAGAAATCCAAAGATGTACTTGCTATATCATGAAACATTAAATGTAAAATCAAAGAGGCACAGGCAAAGCTAAGTTTGGGTATTTCTTCAAATGATTTTATAGTTTTTTTTTTTTAATTTTTAAAATGTTTATTTATTTATTTTGAGAGAGAGAGCAAGGAAGGGGCAGAGAGAGAGAGGAAAAGAGAGAATCCCAAGCAGGCCCCACACCCAGTGTGAAGCCCAATACAGGGCTAGATCTTATGACCATGAGATCATGATCTGAGCCAAAATCAAGAGTCTGACACTCACCCCACCTAAACCACCCAGGCACTCCAGGCTTTTTTTTTTTTTTAAGATATGGCTGATGAATGAAAATATAAGGGGGTGTACAAATATTTTGAACAGTCAAGTGGCACTGCCTTAATTCAAAGAGAGGTAGTGTTTATACGGTATTCAGAATCATTGGCATTTATTTCCTTATTTTTGTACTTCCTTACGAGCCTGAACCTAAATGTTATAATCATAATATTGGTTTCCAGCCTATCTAGCCATTGAAAAGCATTAACCTTCATGGTTCATCTGATGAGCCACATACCCTGGTTGTGCCTCCTGAGAGAGGACGTACCCTTTTTAAATCTATGTTTAACAGAGATAAATGAGCCATAATAATGAGGCAAATGTCATAGAAAAGTGAATTGTAAATGTGGCCAGTCAACCAAATGTATATATTTAGCAAATCAATATACTGGTTAAGGACACAGGATTTAAAAACCAGGCAAGCAAGGATTTGATCCCCAATTCAGCCACTCATTATTTGTGTAACTTCTCCTTCTTTCTCTTCTCTCCTTCTTCTCTGCCTCTCTTCTTCTCCTCCTTTCTCTTATTAAAAAAAATCTATTGAGCATTTACTATGTATTATGCCATAGACTAGTGGGCCAGGTGCCTGCCATTCCTGAGGGAGAACATGGGAAGTTTACAGGAAGAAATTTGTGGTGTGTGACACAAGGCAAGATACAGATGCAGAAATGAGCCAGACTTACTGGGTCAAATCTGAGCAGACTGGAATAAATCATGGGAGACAAGTTTGGAAAAACATATTAAAGTCAGGTTGTGAAGGGCCCTGAATGCCAGGATAAGTACTTTCAAATGAACATTGCAGATACCTGGTGAATAATCAGAAATTGAGTGATTCAGGAAGAAGTCTAGTACTGAAAGACACAAGAGGAGACTATTTCAAAAGAATAGTTTACTACATACTTCAGAGAAGGCAAGAAAGAAATGGATTTAACTGTTAGAAGGACATGATGACCTTTCAAATAGCTCTGCTTGGGTGGTGGGGATAGAAACCAGTAGTGAGGACGAAAGAAGGGGTTGAAGGTGAAGAAACACAGCCTGTGCGGCAAAAGTTGCATGGGAGGGTTAAGCAGAATGGGAAAGAAACAGTATGGTAGAGATTCAGGAAGCAGTGAGGTCCAGGGCAGATATATTTTTCCTAAGATGGAGAGTTACTATCTACGTGGGAAGTAAAAAACCTGTGTGGACAGACTGCAGATTCCAGGGTGCAAGAGCAGATGAGACCTCATGAGAATTCCCACTGACCACTGAAGTACGAAGGCCTGCAGAGCTGAAGTAGCAGTTCTTCCTCTGAGATTGAGGGGTATGACTTGACGCTGAGATTTCCTTTGTAGCAGGGAGAGAATCAAGGCAGCATTTATCTGTGTACGCCAGGTGAGCTCTTACTAGAAAAAAGAGTGGCAACATCAGGCCACAACAAAAAGACCAAGTGACGGGGCTGTAGAAAGACACACATCAAAGAGTTCAGCCATCAATGGATTCAGGAGCATCAAAGCATTTTCAGCCACACTCCAGAAACCTTTCTACTTCCTTCTGTGCTGTGTACTGTGGGAAGTTTGCAGTGCAAACATTCAAAGAAATGTAGAGCGTCCTTGATCTTCACCTCTCCTTCAGAAACAATGGTACTGGGTTATAGAGACTACGGGTCCAATGCGAAGATGATAATTTGCCCTCTAAGTCACCACTCAAAGAGAGTGTTGAAGGTTAAAATCAATAGGTATTTACGTAGACATAAACGCATCCTAGAAGTTGATGGTTGTCAAAGAGGGTTACTCAGCTCTGTGTGGATATGTCTAGTCTACATTCGAAGTACCAGCTCTGGAAACTTTACTGCCAAAGTGCTCCCAGACTTGTATAGACTTTTCTTGTCCCTCCACCTTTGGGTTCAATGGGGCTGGTAAAAAAGCTTCTGAGGATTGCAGGTCTCGTTGCATCTTTATTTGAGCTCTGGGTTGGGAAAGGAGGAGCAAAGGGGTGCCCTGGGTGCAGTGCCCTCCTCCATGACCACTGGAGGGTTGCACCCCAACAATAGTAATTCCACACAAGGAAAGCTGAAGCTGGTGTATCTAGCCAGGCATCCTCAGTCTAGAGAATCCTGTGGGTTAAGGAGACCGTAGTGTGCACTTGATGAGCAGAGTAAGTGCCTTTGGTGGGAGAGGGCACAGTGCTGACTGGGCATCTTCGCTTTGGAGTCTTCCCTTTCGCATTGGCCTATCGGTGCCAGGAGCTGAGAACCCGGGGCTTCGGGCAGAGGCGGGGTGTCAGTCGGGAACACTGACCCATTGGTCCCGTGGCTGCAAGGGGAGTTAGGGGAGCCCTGGGCGCCGGCCAGGGATAGCCCGAGCTCTGCTCCAGTCCACAAATCCTTAACGGATTTTCTTTCTCTCCCTTCACCCTTTTCTCTCCTTTGCTCTCTTTCTTCCACTCTCCTTCTTTTTTTCCTTTTTCCCCTCTTTTCCCCCTCCCTCCCCATCCCCTTCCCTTCCTCTCCCCTCCCCCTCTCCCCTCCCCCTCCCCGTGTGTGAGCCTCTTCCTTTCCCCTCCTCCCCTTTTCCGCCTCTCTCTCCCTCTCTCTCTCCGTCTCCTTCTCCCTCTCAGCTCGCCGGGCGACCCTGCTCCTGCCTCCCACATTAATGGCGGCATCTTCGGAGGATGATATAGACCGGCGGCCCATCAGAAGAGTGCGCTCCAAGAGCGACACGCCGTACCTCGCTGAAGCCAGGATCTCCTTCAACCTCGGGGCAGGTAAGGACGACCCTCTCGCCTCGCTCTAGCCCCCACCCTGCTTCCTCCCCTCCCCTCCCTCCTCGCTGGCTGGCTCAGCCCCCTGCCCCTCCTGGGGTGTCCCCCTCCCGCCCCCCTTTCCTACCGAGCCGGACGCCGGGCTCGCTCACTCGCTCTTTGTGTCGCCGGTGTACGGAGGGTGTGTGTGTGTGTGTGTGTGTGTGTGTGTGTGTGTGTGTGTTGCAGAGGTGGGGGAGGGTAGCGCGTGGAGCCCTACATCCGCCCAGGAGTCACAGGAGGGCTTTCCCTTTCCTTACGGAGAAGAAAGTGCTGTCGGTGATAACAATGATCATGGAATAACCTAGCGCCGGCTCGGGCGCGAGTGCACTGGCTGTGGGCGGAGGGAGGGTCTGGCAAGGCTCTGCCGGGGAGGTTTGCTTGTAGGGCTACTACAAAGTGGAACTTGTTGGTGAAATTCAGACTGGTGATTTTGCTGGGTTGATGCCACTGCTGCAGTGGTGGAGGGGTGAGAGGGTGTGGGGTTGACAGCTAGGGAGAGGACCGTATCTTTTCACCAAGCAGCTGAAGAGCAACCCTAAGGATGATAATAATAATAACATTGTCTGTTGGGTACATGTTAGGTGATTTGATTCTGGCACTGGTACTGATGCGCAAAGTGGCCCCGTGGAATTAAGTGAAAAGTGGAATTAAGTGAAAAGGGAAACTGAGGTAGAGAGAGGCAGGAGGAGGGAGGGAGGAGGGCAAAGAAGGAGCGAGGAAGGGGTCATGGGAGGGAAGGGGAAAGGAAGAACCAAGGGGAGGGAGGGAAGAAGAAAGGTAGGGGCGATAGAGAAGACTGACAGATCCAGAGAGTCAAATTGCTTCAGTTGAGACCTTTCGGGGTTACTTGATGAGAGGAGCCCCGTGTCTGCTGTCCCTGCTGCTGCTGCTGCTTCTCCAGACTCATAGGCAGACATCAGCTCGTTAGTAGTAGATGGTTACTATCATTGAGAAGAAGTTGTTCACCAATAACTTCATAGTGCTGCCTTTTCTCAATGACTCCTAAGCTTCTGCCCCAGCTTGTGTCTCTTCCTTTTTAGAGTCCCTTAGTGTTCTAGAAATTCCAGTGGGGGAAAAAAAAAAAAGAATGAGGGCATTTTCCTGAAGACTATCCCTGGAAATAAGTTTCAAAGCCAGATACCATCCCTTTTTCTTTAGGAAATGAAATCCTTGAAAATGGAACTGAATGGAAGCATGTGTGTGCATGTGTTGGAGTGGAGAACTTTCACATGATGAGTGTTTTATGTACTATTGAAAAGTTTGGACAAAAGAGAAAACTCTGAATAGAAAAACAGGACGTGTTTGCTAAGGGACTGTATCTTCATGACTAGAAGGATAACGGGAAAGGGCCAGAGCAGCCAAGTTGGTTGGAGTGTTACTTTCCTGTCTTGGTGATTTGGGGGTTTTAATCATATGTTTTCTTGTCATTCCTAGAATGTTTCCTCTGGATTTAGTGCTGGGGAAATGAGAACTTTGCTGGGAGAAATTTTGGCAATTTTTGCGCAATGCTGTGTAGCCTATGGCCTCATGTTGGAACTGTTGATCCTTCACGTGTATGCTCCAGATTCAGGGTATGGTTGTCAGGGGTCTTCAGAAGGACAGAGGAGAGTTTCTTTGATGAATTTGTTTTCTCACTGAGTGATATTAGAAATTGTGCCACTGACCCCTTTGCTGCTAAACTTTGGTACATTCCCTTAGTGTCTCTCTTACTTAGCACAGAAGAAAAAGGGCTAGAGAGGCAGTTAGTAAAGGTTGTTTACCTTGCTTTACTTTTACAACAAAACAATAAAATAAAACACAAAAACAGAGCTTCAAGTTTCAGCTGCTACTGAGTTAGGTTGAGCCATTTTGCCATCAGATTAAACCCAGTGACTTGTAATCTTTTATTCTGGTTAAATTACTCTGGAGACCAATTAAAAGATTGGACTTTTCAGACAAGACTTGTCTGTCTTTTATCTGGAAATAAATAAGCCAAACAAGGTCCCAGTCTCTTCTATATGCTCCTTAGAATTTCCCTAAAGGTAAAATCAAAAAAGACACCAGCAAGAAAGAGAAATTCTATCCAGAAGATGTTGGTAAAAAAGGGAGGGCAGTCGCAGTGGACTGTGTTCTGTAGATAGGGGAGCTGTCCTCCCTCAGTGGTGCTGAAACGAAGGACTGTGTGACAGGGAGGTGACTATAAGCAACAGAGGAGGGAGGGTGTACCGAGTCCTTCCCAGTGATGGAATCCCGGGGAAAACGCTGGAGATCTAGTCACCAAAAACTTCTCTAGCCCTGCCCACCTACATTTTGCCGCCTGTTTACTACGCCTCACGCCTACCGCTCCGCTGCTCAAATCAGGCAGTTGTGCTCTAATTTTGCGCAGGCTGCTCACTCCTGGCGCTTTGTTTATTTTCCAGCTGGTTTCTGGTTGCTTTCCTGACATAGTAAGATCTACTCGCAGATGTGTCTTTCCCCCGCGTTTAAAAGTAATTGTAACCCCTGGTTTAAAAAGCAAACAGCCTTGTTTATCTCCTTGAGCAGCAAGTTGTAATTAAACTATTAGTGTCGTTATCAGCGTTGCTGAACAGAGGAGCCTGCACACTTCGGATAAATTACATAATTTGGGCATGGAGAGAACTTTGTCTCCTAACAACAATTTATAAACAATTAAGCAAGGAAGCTTTCATTTGCCCTTTATTTCCACTCTTCTTCTACCCCCAAGTCACTTAGTGTTTATTCTTTCCAGAGAAATTCTTTATTGGTTTAAACTATTTATGTTTAATATTTGCTTTCTCACACCCACTCATTATATATAAGTACATGTTTAATATTTTAGAGGTTGAGTAATGCTTCATGGAATAAATATACATATGTTCATTTTATTTGGATATCACAAAATCATTTTGGGTACCATCTCCCTTAAATTAATCTGTATAGTTGCCAAATAAAGTGGACTGGGCATTTTGAATACTAATTAAATACTTAAGCATCCTTTCAACTATATCCTGTCCCTGAGGGCACTTAATAATATCATTTCAGAAATAATTCCACAGCTTGAGTGGAGGATATACTCCTTCACTTACAGTCCCAAGTCAGTCAAAGAATAGCACCAAAATGTGGGTCTTTCATCACTTTATGAAGATGCAAATTCCAAGTTTTAGCATAAACTGATGGAGTATAGAATAGGGGTTTTCTGAACCATGACTTCCATTCTTCTAAAAGAGCCTCCTTTGTGAGGTTTTTAACCTCTAATCAGCACTTAGTATATTATATTGATAATGATTATTTGCTGAAGACCGTATAAATGCTAGAGAAAATTAAGTCAATGTATTTGCTGAAACTTACTCAGAGACATCAGACCTCATTTAAGACATTGAAAGAGTTTTTTTTTTTCCCTGAGAAATTAAAATGTGTTATAAGGACATCGTGTAACAGAAGAATATGTTCACACTGTTAGTAGCAAGTGTTTCTAATTGTGTTCTCACTTAGTAATGAACATCATTGACATTTAGCTTGTGAGAACTTACCCTGCCTTATGAGGTCATTCATTCACTGCATTGAAGTGAATGCACTGGAGAGTTGCAGCTTGTCTGTTGGATGTTTTCCTGTAGGCTAGTGTGTTTTATTTATCTTTATATTGACAGTATATAGAAGAGTATTTGATACCTAGAAGGTGCTGAAACTGAAAAGTTCTCTGCAATTACATACTGAGATAATTGGAAATGTTATGGTAAATAAAAAGCTAAGCACATCTAAAATGTCTTAAAGGCATGTCAAAGGAAGGAAAGCTTCATCCTGATGATTCAGGATTGTTTAAACCCCAAAGTCAATATTGGGTCACTATTGAGAAGAATAAGTACTTATCTAATCATAAGGAACGTTAACCTTTGTTGATATTTCGGAATTGCTTTTGTGTGGAAATGATTTTAAGTTAATAGCATGGTCAACTTCAGGATACCTATCATCCTTGGGACTTCAAGATCAGTTTTAGTTTCTGAGACAAGCTAAGGATGGCTATTTCTGACTTCTGCTGATGTTCTCTACTCTTTCAGGCACAGAGGATAACGGCAGTCAAAATTGGCTTGTTCTGGCTACCTGTAAGAAGGGATGGGTCAGCCAGATTAGGATATAAACTTGGTCTCAGAAAATTTCTTTCCTATCTTTCTTGAGGAGGAAGATCTTTATCTCTTAGTTAAATTATGAAAACCTATGATACTGAGAAGTGACAGCCCAGAATGTGATATCATCACTCAGCAATGAGCACTGTCCCTAGGCAAAATTGGGAATATTTTCCATACTGAGCCAAGGTTATTCAACCAATGGGAAGGTCTTGGTAATCATCTTCCTTCACTCTTTCACTGAAGAATGCCAATGTCTTCCTCATAATATATTTTTTTGTTACTGATTTCAAATTGAAGGCAGATCATATGGGTTTGGCTCTTATTTTGTAAGCCCAAAATCTCCTTGAAAGTATTGCTTCTCACAGTCAGTAGCCATAATCCAACTGGATGGCCATGTGGTTGACCAGAAGCCTCTATTATGGACTCTCTGATGGTCTGCTCTCCTCCTTTGCTGTTTCTAAAGCTAACCAACCTGGAAATCTCATTATGTAGTGCTTTCAGATGATACTGATGAAGACCACTCCAGATAATATAAATAACATAAACAAAGGAAAGTAAATAATTAACAATACGAAGAAATAGGAAGCCCTTTGCTGTTAATATTTAACCTGGCTGCTTACAATGTTATTGCTTCAACAGCAATCCATATGTTTATGAGACAACTTGAACACAAAATCTGTGTTACATGCTTAAGTTTTCTTGGGATCGCTGGTCTGGGCACTATTAAAATTTTTTTAACATCTAAGTATTTATTATATTTACTATTATCTTATCACTAAATGATATGTTATTTGTTTAGTTTGTAATTAGAGAGAGAGAGAGAGAGAGAGAAGACCATGAAAGTGTGTTTTATATGAA